AGTTTCTGTTATTCTGTTGGTATGGAAGCAAAAGCAACCAGAGGCCACACATTAGCAAATACGCATATAAAGTGTTTAAATAGAACATCACCTACGAAAAACCGCAGGGTTCCAAAACTGGCCAGTGGGTCATTGCTTACAAGCCTCTGTTTTACAACAAATAGCATCAGTGGTTAAATGACCACAGGCTAATTGTTTATTAAGTTGATTGCAAGGATCAAATATCAGAGAATCTGGGGATATTTGTCACCTGATAAATAACATTTTGAAAACTGATCCTTCATTAAGTTCTTATCAAGAACTGCAAATTGGAATAATCCAGATATTCATGTAATCTATCGGAGTCTGAACAATACAAGTTGTGTCAAGTTACTCTTGGCGTTATTTTAGAGAATTTTTCTTCACTGACCATAAAATCTGTGAGATGATTTGCTCTTTATTAAGTAGTTATTAAGTGTTTACTTTATGCAAAGCTTTGTTTTCACACTAAATGCAAATTATTAAATTCACAATGTTTACTATGTTGTGAGATGCTTCAAGTGACTTAAAGTGGACTGTTTATGCCATACCATTTTACTAAGTGTCTTAGCAAGTATCTCAGTGTTCATCATTATGCTGCCCAAATTGCTTCAGTCTCTAACGAGCTTCCCACCACATCGAATTGGTCACAGATTTAATGATGACCACTACACACTCTGGCCTTGTGGCTTACGTAATCAGGGACATCATGTGTTGCTGTCATTGGTGGTTTGCGCTCTTGGAGATCCCCATCATATTTTAATTTTTTGACTAGTTGAGAATTTTCAGCTAATGTCCTAAGACCACTAGTATGACAAATATCCCTGCACTGTGAACTTGAATAAGCAATATACCATGTATTTTACTTCTACCCTACGACCTTTAATTTTCATTGCGAACTTGATTGGAATTGGAATCAACTGGGTGTGTCTGTGAGGGTGATTTCAGACAGGTTTACCTGAGACAGGCAGACCTACTCCAAATGCTGGTAGCACCATCCCATGGGCTGGCTCACAAACCGAATAAATAGGAGTAAAGGAACTGGGTACCAGCATTCATTTCTGTATGCTTCCTGGCTCTAGACTTGATGTGACCAACTGCCTCATGTTCCTACCACCATGACTTCCCCAGCATGATGGACTGTACCCTCCAATCCATGAGTCACAATACACCTTACTTCCTCAAATTGCTTTTGGGAAGGCATTTGTTGGGTCACAGCAATGACAAAAGAAGCTAGTACACATGTGAAGGCTGAAGTTATGTTTTAAGTTTAAATTACTGTGCTTAAGAGCTCTATGAAACAAAAATGCCTCTAACCTGTAAACTCCACTTGCCCAAGGACAGATAACTTCCTAGAATGCTGGGGGCTGTTGTTCATGTAAGATAACAAGCCATGTGTTTTCACTTCTGTAAACAAATGTGCTTGCACCAACTGCACAAGGTACGTGCTTGATCACATGTAGACAGGAGGTGCATAGGCAGGAAATATGTCAAGATGGATTCTTGCCCCTGATTGGACAAAGGCAGGAAGTACCTAGTCTTGTGGGGTTTGCTCTTATAAGCACCAGAATAACATCAATTTGTGGCCATTCTCTGGGAATCCCTGGTGTGGCCCTGACCAGTGTCCATCTTCCTAGCCAGTATTTAATAAAGCTTGCTTCAAAGCTGGGTGGTGGTGGAGCACGCTTTTAATCCCAGCACGAGGGAGGCAGAGGCAGGTGGAGCTCTGTGAGTTCAAGGCCAGCCTGGTCTACAGAGCAAGTGCCAGGACAGTCAGGCACTCGCTCTGTAGACAGGATATCTCGCTTTTTGAGACAGGATGGAGAAATCCTGTCTCAAAAAAAAGAAAAGAAAAGAAAAGAAAAGAAAAAAGGTGAGAAAAAGAAAAAAGGAAAAAAAAGAAACTTTCTTCAAAGTACACCCTCCAGGACCAGCCGCATCCTGACCAACCACTGGGGAGCCAAGTACAATCACTTGATGATTGTTGGGAACCGAGGAGGGAAAGATTGTCAGGCTTATGTAGGGCCAAGCCAGGCAGAAGTTAAGTTGGCACCAGGCTCATGGCTTCTTGTGATATTTCCCTGTAAATAGCAGTTAGGGAGCCAGAGCCACCTCGAGCCAAAATACAGTTAGTCCAAGGATTCAGTTAAGCCAAAAACTTTTCAGAGGTCCCAAATTGGTATGATCTGTCTAAAGTCATCCTTCTATCAGATAAGGCATTTGATTTGCAAGGTGTATTGTATTGCTCGAAGTTGAAGTTCAATGAGGTTGTTTCACCTCACAATGAGATTAGGTGGTGGAGCTTATACTTAAATTTATGTTTTTTTCGTTGGTGACTTGACCTCTCTCTGTTTTTTAAACCTATCAGGAATGAGCTGAGGGCTGGAGTTGTGGTTCAGTGGTTAAAAGCACTTGTTCTTGCAGAAGACCCAGGTCCAGTTTATAGAGTCCACATGGCAGTTAACAACTATCTCAAACTCCAATTCCAGGGTATCCAACACCCTTTTCTGGCCTCCTTGGGCACCAGGCCTACATGAACTACACATCCATACATGCAAGTAAAAGACTCATAAAATAAAATCCAAAAATCCATTTTTAAACAATGGGTGAGCAGAGTGAGTCATTTACCTCTGTGTTGTCAAAACACTTGGATTATCTTCTGTATTAGTCATCAGGGGAGCTTCACCAAATACCTTTGAAGAGTGTGTGGTAAGAGGATGTAAATGAAATGACAAGACAGGAAATTGAATGCTAAGTGCATTTTATGAAACCTAGCTGTTTATGAGCCCTACAGAAACTTGAATTAAAAGAAAACTAGAAAGGAGAAGCCAGCAGCACTGTGAGTGGGCACGGGGGGGGGGGGGAATGCAAACATTCAACAAGAGAAGAGTGACTGAGCCAGTACCAGGAAGTGCTGGGGCAAGGATAGTAACAGCAGAATCGGACTACTTCTGAAACCCAAGGGAAGACCTAAGTAAACCATCTGGATTTCTTGCTTTCAGCTACCCGTGTTTAGTTGACTATAAAACTCAACTAATTCTGGAGGCTGTACAGCCCAGTATGTTATTATTCCCCCACAAACTCTGCTGTACATGACACCTCTGACCTGTGGTTCATGGTGGTAACAGTTGCCTAGTGCACTTCTCAGGGATTAAAGGCTGTTCCAAGTAGTCCCTTGGGCCTGTGCAGAAGTCTGATGTGTGTTACCTTTTGATGCGTGGGGTGTATATGAAAACTCCACCCACGTATCTTGTTAATATCACAGGTCTTGCCAATACTGTTGTTTTATGTTCCATGGAGAGCCATGAAGATTAATTACATGTTCATAGAACATCGACTGTGTCTCCTCTGATCACCTTTCAGCCTACTGCTTTATCCCATAAATATCCTTGTGCTCTCTCCTCCGGAAGGCAGTTTGAGCTTTAGGTCTCACGCTTCCACATATCACTGCCATTTTGTCAATACAGTCTTTTTCTTTTTGCAAAATTCATTGATTTGGGATGAACAGATGCTTTATGGAACTGCTCTGGGAACAGTCCCACAGCTAGGTACAAAGAAAGAAAGAAAGAAAGAAAGAAAGAAAGAAAGAAAGAAAGAAAGAAAGAAAGAAAGAAAGAAAGAAAGAAGGAAAGAGAAAGAAGGAAAGAAAGAAAGGGAGAGAGAGAAAGAAGGAAAGAAAGAGAGGGCAGAGAGAAGGAAGGAAGAAAGAAAAAAGAAAGAAAAAAGAAAGAAGGAAGGAGGTTGGGGGAGTGAGTAAGGCAGGAAGGAAAGAGACAAAAACTCAGGGACTAGAAATAAAGTCAGGAAGTATTGAAAGGCCCCAATCTACACGCTTCAGACAACTTAAATAAACAAAGGGAGAACCCAGGAACTGCTTAGCAAATTTAAAGAGGAAGGGCAGGGATTTAGGCCAGGATCCAACAATACCACCACAGGATTATATTTCTTCATCATTATTTTTCTCTTTGTGATTGTCCTGCTCCCGGGTGGTCTGATCTGAGTGAGAAACTTGAATAACATACTCATGATCAGGAAATTCTCCAGCCCCAAAAGGGTTATGGTAGAGTAGAAAGACAGATATGAGCACAACTATGTCCACAATTGTGTGGTAACTGCTGGAATAAAATGTAAGTGTGTTTGCCTCCTGGTCTTATCTATGCGCATTGCTATGTTGTTTGATAATTAATACTGCTGATGCTATTTAATTCCCTCTGATGGGCCAACGTTTCAGTAAAATTTGTGCCACCGGGAAATTTTATGTAGGGGCTCTTTAGGCAAAGAAAAGAAAAAAAAGTTCTTCAGGTCCCTTCCTGGGCATCTATGGGAACAAAGAGAAGAATCATGCTGCTATCCAAGTTGGCATGCAGATGTGACATATGCATGAACATATGTGCATGAACACATGCAGAAACACTAGGGGGCACAGTCTTTCAGAACAATCACAAACACTCAAAAGATATGAAGAACAGGGGCTGGAGAAAGGTTCAGCAATTAACAGCACTGACTGTTCTTCCAGAGGACCTGGGTTCAAGTCCTAGCACCCATGTGGTGGCTTACAGCAAATATAACTCCAATCCTAGGGGATCTGGTGCTCTCTTTTGGCCTTCTAGGGCGTGTGCGCACGTGCACACGTGCATGTACACACACACACACACACACACACACACACACACACACACATTCTAATTGTTTCATCCTAGGTGGTGGGGAGAGGTTAGCATTTTTAGGCTCCTCTCCATGAAAGGATGATGGTCAAGTTCAATGTATTGACACACTACAGGGGAATTCCCAGCATTCCTAAGTCACCCTTGTTTAGAATGACAAACCTGCTGGGAGCTAGGCCTTGGCTTCCCAAAACTGAGATCTAGTTTTAGTGTGTTTGTGTGTTCCCTGAACCTCCCATTTCTAGATTTCCTTTTGTCTTAAAAGTATTTCCCATTAGCACGAAATGTAGAGGAATAGCATAGCAAACAACACTGAGCTCTATGGCTTGAATAATGACGTTTATTTCCTTTAAATACATTTAAATACGAAACATCAGGCAGTGGTTCAGTAAACTTGAAAAGTACAAGCTGAACAGGAATTACATCAGTGCTGATCATACAAATGAAGTTCTGCATAAGAAAGAGCCAGAATAATTCATAAGCATTGCACTCCAACTTTGCCAGTCTGAATACTCAATCATATGGCACCTGCTACTCGGTGGCAAGCAACCTTTTCTCATTCATCACCACAATGGGCTCCCCAGACCCCTTCCTCTCTGAGCACTGGTGTGCAGAGGCATCTGAAGCTAGAGGTAATTGTCAGCGGACCAGGGAATCACCCAGCCGCTATTGAATGGAAATGTGAATTCACCATGGCACTAGGTAAAATCAATTTTTCTAACAGCTGGGGGGTGTGCAACAGTGACAGCAACTTAACAAAGCAGCACTGTTTAAAATGACAGGGATGCGGAACTTAAGAGAAAGTTGAATCAAGGACTCTCTCGGCTGTGGAGCCCCTGGTCCTTTCTCTCATTTGGAAAGTGGCAGTGCTTTCCATAGACTGGCTGTCTACTTGCACATGTTCTGGTGTGAAAAGGACATCTGTCCACACAGCTGTCGAAAAACAAAGTGAAGATGAGACTTTCGAAGCAAGGATCAACTTCCAATCAATCATTCAGTTCTGATTTCACTTGATTCTGCTTTCAAAGAAAAATTTCCAGACATGTATTTAAAGTGTCAATGTAATATTCTAAATGGCACTCAACTGGCTGAGGGCTCAGCCCTAACCAAGATGTTGATACCACCTCCTCTAAATATCAGGGCACAGAGCAGAGGAGGGGCTGGGAACATGTCAGAAAGAGAGAAGGGCTGGGAAATACCATCTTCTAGGCATGATGCAGCCTTTGCAATCAGGAACTCACAAGAGCTGCAAGAATCTGCCTGCCCTAGGCCTACACAAGGTGGAACTTCTCAACAGCCACACATGCTGTTGTGAGAGGCTTATGGGGCCTGGGCCCTCTGTAATGAACTGTGGGCTACCAATAGAATCTGGGAGACGCCGAGTCACTGTCTTTAGTTGTGGACCTACGGGTGAGTGAGCAGAACAAGTTCTGACAGATAGTTCCAAACCTGTGGTCACATAGATGGCCCTGACTGCCCTTAGTGGGTCACAAAACAAAGACACCTGAGTGTGGGAAAGGGACTTGTAGGGAGGAAATGGGTTGACAAGAGTAGGCTGGGGTTAAGATAGTGTAGAGGTGAATGTAATTAGAACGCATTTTAAATATGCATGAAATTGTCAAAGAACAAATTATTTTAAAAATCTCAGTGGTTAATTTGGGTAGATTTGGAAACTGATCAAAGGCTAGTCATCGGCCTCCAAGGATTATAGTCATCCAGAATTTTCTTTCCTACACAAATCTAGTGCTAGCCTCTTTGCGCGTGCGCGCACACGCACGCACACACACACACACAGAGAGAGAGAGAGAGACAGAGAGAGAGAGAGAGAGAGAGAGAGAGAGAGAGAGAGAGAATTAGCTTGTGATCTGAACCTCCCTTAACCTGATTCTTTAAATGTCAGTGACTTCTTTTTTGCTTATAATAGCATAATAGCAGGCATGGTGGTGCAAGTCTGTAATTCATGAGACCCTGTTTTGAAACAACAACAAAAGAATTAATCATCACTCTATATACTTTCAATTATTTCTTAGATGCCAAACCTCTGCTTATTTTTAAGGAGGTGCTTGGGCAATGAGAAAAAGGAGCCCCACCAAATCAGATTAGTATGTCCTTTAAATGTCACCAGTCAACCAACTTAAGGGGTAAGTGAAAAGACCATTGACCTGCAGGTGTCTGGGTGAAAAATCTTATGCTTCTGGCAGCAGCTCTCCAGACTTTCTTTGCATTCAAAGCAACTGCAGTTTTCTGGGTGCTGAATGAGATCTCCAGGACATGATGTTTTGCAGACACACTCACAACGCTCTTCATCAAACTTCATGTGTGGTCCACAGAGAGCTGGTTCCTGAAGGTAAGAATGGTCTAAACAGAAACAGGAAAGTGTTGGTTTGGCAGCTGAAGCCTAGAGGATGTGATGGTCCAAATTAATCGCAAGTTCTACATCTGAAATAAAACATGGATCCTCCCGATTTCTTTGCCTATATATTTTTTACCTTAATGTTTTTCATAGGGTGAGATCCATTTGAGATTTCACAACATAAACATAGATCTCGTGTGTTTTCTTAGGTGTTTAATAACAAATACCATAAACTGAATATTTGTGACAGATTTTTATGTTGTTGACTGACCAGTTAAAAATATAAACATCTGTGCTGGAAAGATGGTTTCGGGGTTAAGAAAAATCCCTGCTCTTGCAGAGGACCCAGGTGCGGTTCTCAACACCCAAATAGAAACTTAAAACTGCCTGTAACTGCAATCCCAGAGGGTCTGTTTCCCTCTTTTGGCTTACACGGGCACTGCATGCAAACCATGTACAGACAATAGAGGCAAAACACTCATACACATAAAATGAAAATAAATAAATCTTTCACACACACACACACACACACACACACACACACACACACTTACACACTTATACAACCAGCCAGTAGTGACAAGACATAGGCTGTCTACGGGGTATGAATATAGTACTCTCCAGTGTTTTAGAAGTGTGGGAACCAGAAGTAATAATGTAGAAATATTTTCCTCAGAACTTCCAGATAACCACTGATGCATTTCCTCATCTCAGATCACCACACTTATATGAAACATATAAAGGTGACAATGAACTGTGGCTCAATCAGTGAACTAAAATTCAGTGCACGAAGTGTAAGAGATGAAATGGGGGTGTGACTCTGCTGGTAGGATGCTTGACACGAGAAGTTCAGGATTCAATCTCCAGTGGCTCCTAAACTGGGTGTGGTGACACATAACTGCAATCCTAACACTTACTCCAGAGGTAAAGGCAGGAGGACCAAAAGTTCAAGGTCATCCTCTGCTATGTATTGAGTTTTAGGCTAGTCTGGAGCACATAAGAGTCTGTCTCAAATGAAAAGCAAAAGCAAGCAACAATTAGAGAAGGTGAAAAGTTTGGAGTAACTTTCACTTTTTATCTCGGCATTGGTGAAGGTTTTGGAAGAAAATAAGTATCTCTTCCCCCAGCCAACTTCTTTTCCGGTTTGCCTCATTTGGGATTGTGGTCACTGTGTCCACTTGGTCCTTAATCCATGCCCTCTCTTCTCCATCACACTGCCTCTGCCACAAGTCACTTAGTACCTTGCATTTCTTATGTTGGTGGCTGCCACTCATGTCACAGCTACAGCATGTATCCCTTCAGTCTCCCCCTTAGGTGACTATCAAATGATCCCATCACCACTGATGCTTTAAATGTCTTTTTTTTGAGACAGGGTTTCTCTCTATAGTCCTGACTGTTCTGGAACTCCCTATGTAGACCAGACTAGTCTTGACATCATAGAGAATTACTTGTCTCTGCCTCTTCCTCCCAATGAAAGATGTGAGCCACCATGTCCAGCCATGCCTTGAATGTCTTAAAGTTTTCTTTCACACACAAAAGGCCAAATTTTATACCAGAATATATAAACATTAAAAGACCTTCCATGACCTTGACCTTTAAGACCTCCCATACTCATTCTCAACCCTTTCATCCTCCCTTTTCTCCCCAACCTCATGCCCAGATGGCAGTCTCTCATGATCCAGTCTCATGGTTTTGACTACCCTTTAATTGATACATATTTAGAAGTTACATGGACTGGCTAGCCACAAAGACTCCATTCTTAATTTCATGAAGAGGAAAAAAGATGAGCCACATGTGCTTTAAGTCACTGAGGCAAATGCCAATTTAAGGCAAGACAAGGCTCGATTACTGAAAAACAGTCAGACTCTTAAAAGATGCATTGAGCACTAGGTGGCAGCAATGATTCACAAGAAAGTGTTCTGCAGGCCCAGCTCCATTCTTGGATAGAGTAGTTTAGGGGGACACAATCCTGAGGTGTTCAACAGATTGTGTGGCAGAAGCAGAACATTATGTCCTTACAAGCAAGTTAAAGGGAACAGAGACTGGATGCAGGACAACTAGGTCGAACAGCAACCGGTTGGTTGAGGCTGACACCCTCAAGTATTTACATATTGATTTCTATCCCTAGGGAGGTTGACTCTGGATTACCACTGCATTCTGTCCTTGGCCTTGTTCCATTCACGACTATTATTATGTTTTGTTCATTATAGTAACGATAGGAAAATGAGTTGGACTTGCATCAACCACATTCTTTTGGAGAATAAATGACTAGAACAGGCAACTAGCTCAACAGCTTTATATGCAGAAAAGGTGTTTAGTGCACAGAAAGTAATGTGTCATCAGTTGAAGGGGACCACCAGGGAAACAGATGGGAATGTAGGCACATGGATGTTATTTATGAGTGATGAAAACTAGAATTAATTGGGACGCAATCCACCTTCCTTCCTTCCATCATTGTTACAGTTTCTGCAAAAGTTCCCCACTCCCTCCCCTGCTCAGGTCAACTCATTTTCTTCTGCACTGTTGCTGGGTTGATCTTTTTTACAATTCCAACAGATGTTACCACTCTCTTTCTTAAACCATTTGGGTGATTTCCATTTGCCCAGAAGGTCACACCCAGGTTCTTCCAGCACAATCTTACTAAGTCCTTCCACTCCAATCTTAGGGGTACCCCCAGCTTTGTCTCCTCATATGTACCCCTTTCACTCAGTATGTTATGTGTCCCTGTGATATAGTTAATCTTTGTTGTTGACTTTACTGGATTCTAGAATGACCCAGAATGGACACCTCTGGGTGTGCCTATGAGGACACTACCAGAGAGGTTTAACTGAGGAAGACCCACTGTAAATGTAAGCTGGGCACCCAGACTGAATAAAAAGTGGGAGAAAAATTGGAAGGGCTGATGGGCAGGAGCATCTGTCTCTGTCTGTTTCCTGGCTGTAGACACAAGGTGATCAGCCCTCTCATGGTCTTACTGCCAGGTTATTCCCAGCATAGCAGACTGTTCCCTGTCAAAGCAAAAATCAAAGTAAGCCCCTTCCTCCCTCCCTCCCTCCCTCCCATCCTTTCCTTCCATTGCTTTTGTCAGGTATTTTGTTATATCAACAAGAAAAGTAACTAACACACCCCAGCACCCTGCTATCATTTTCCAGCATCAGGTTTGTGCTTTGTTCTCTTCCCTCAGTGCTGAGCTCTTACAGCCCCCTGCTCAGAACACATCTTTCCTTCCTTAGTAGGCCTTCCATCCTCAGTACATGAGCCCACCCAATGAGTCCTCCCCAGGAATTAATCTCCTTCAGAAGGAAGTGGCTTCACCCCAGGTTATATCCCCTTTCATAGTCTGTAGGACCCAACCTGCTTATTTGAGATGCCCCCCCCCATAGGGAGTTCCTTGGCTTCAACTCCAGGTAGGGCTGGCTGATGACTTTTGAGTAACTGCATTGTGGTATGCTGCCTCGAAGGTCACACATTTGATATATTGTGTCTGTATGCAATCTATATGTGTTAGCCTTTAACTACATAACTAAAATTTTATTGCCTCACATCCTAGTTTGAGTTCTAGGGTGAACATTTAGAAAGCTGCTGAGAACCAGAAAAACAGGGCAACTGTAATTAACAGCTTGCTCTTTAGTTTCTACGACAGATTCCATGAGGCTTAATCTTTGATATTTCTTGCTAGATCACAGTTTAAAACAAGCAAGATTCACATTGTGTAATCACTGTGATAGTTTTCAGTGGAACCATGTTGCATGTTATGGGGAGCAAATAAAAAACTAATGCATGTTCAACCATATATTCATCCCAGGACTCACAGTTTTACAGATTGGGAGACAGAATGACAGGCTAGCTATCCTCAGTATGGCTTAGACCAATATCATGGTTTGCTCCAGCTCTAGAAAAGTATTTCCCTGTGCTCTTCTTCCATCCTTTACCCGCCCCCCACCCCAATTATTGGCTTTATTTCAAATGGTGCAGTTGGAAGAAACCAAGTCCCAAAAGTCCTTGTGTGCTTCACTGTGAAGACATTTTCATTAAAGTTTAATGTCTGCTTTTGAAAGCATGCTTTGGCCACTTAGTACTTTTCATTGTAACTGAACAGTAGAGTTATTCATTGGTGGATATGGTCACAAGAGATAAGATTCTATAATCCAAATACTTCTTCCACTGTTATCTATGTGATGGGTGAAGAAATTACTAGCTATCTTGGGGTGGACATTGTGTGCTTGTGAAAAGGGGGCACTCATAGAGTTGTCACAAAGATTACAACATTGCCAGATATTGTGGCTTGAATGAGAAATGCTACCCACTGTTACAAGTATTTGAACACTTGATCCCCAGTTGGTTTTGTTCCAGGAAGTTATAGAACTCTTAGGTGGGGGCCTTTCTGGAGGAAGTACATCACTAGAAGCTGGCTTTGGTGGTTTATAGCCTCACCCTGCTTCCTTTTCTCCTTTTGCTTCCTGTGTGCAGATGAGATGTGATCAGCTAATTTCCTGCTCCTGATGCCATGCCTACCTGCTCCCATGCCTTCCCCACCATGATGGACTCTATTACCCTCAAACCATAAATCAAAATATGCTCTTTCTTCCTGAAATTGTTTTTGTCATGATATTTTGTCACAACAGCAAAAAAATAACTAATAGACTTGGTCATAGTAAGTACTCAGTCAAGTTAATTGCTTATGTTCTTTTTATCATTGTGGTTATTACTTCACTACCGTCATCATTACCTTCTGTTCCAGGGAGTGGATTCTCATCTTGTAAAACACAAGTACATTTGGTGTTATCCCACAGCATGTCAATAGGACAGAGTTTCTTGGAATGAGAACATCTAGGCAAAGAAAATAATGAGCCATATTTAAATTTTTTTCAAGGTAAATCTACTTTGGTAATATTAAGTCATTCTTAATATTTAATATCTAATCATCTAAATATTCTGTGTGAAGCATGCTAGTGCTTTCAAATATTGTTTCTAAGAGGCAGTGATGCAGGAGAACAAATTACAGACCAACAGACATGCATACATAGACACAAACAAAGAAAATAAAATATAGAACTTAATTTATATTTATGAATGGCATCTTATTAGATAATAATTCCATAGTTGTAAATATTCGATTTAGAAATCTTTAGAAAGTAAACTGGAATTTCGGAGAGTCACTGCTTGCTCTGGAGTGAAAGGACACATGGTAGCTTTGAGGCCGGTGCAGTTTTACAATGCATTCGACCACTCATGTTAAGAACAACAGTGTTGGGCCAATGCAGCAGCACACCTTTAATCCCAGCACTCAAGAGGTAGAGGCAAGCAGATCCCTGAGAGTTGAGGCAGCCTGGTCCACATAGTAAGTTTCAGGCCAACCAGAGATACAAAGTGAGACCTTGTCACAAAAAAGCAAAAACAAACAAACAAACAAAAAACCCACAAAAAAACCCACAAAGGTGTGTGTAAGTAAACATGCTAAGTTTATAACTATCAAGGTTTGGGGCTCTACCACAACATATATGTAGTACCTAATAAAAAATGTTTGTCAAATACTATGAATACATCTGGTTTTGAAGGCAAAAGATGAAGAATTTTAATGAAGAGATGATAGTTTTATTTGTATTTTTCTACTTGTTTCTTCAACATTTCTACTAATGTATATTGTGAAAAATAATGGGTTTGACCATGCCCTATTCAAGCATGCATAAAATATACTTTCTTTAGCTTCACCTGTACTTTTATCATCTCTTCTTCCCTCTGTCCCCTCCTCTTCATCTGCTTCCTTTTCCCTAAAAATTCCCTTTCCGCTTTCATAACATTTTGTTTATATTCCACAAGACAGAAAACACACAACACAATCTTTCTGGGGATGCCCCTATAATAGGTAAAGGAATAAAGGAATGTACACACAATTTTGTCAAAAGCAAGAACAGACATTATCCAGTCCAGGAAATGCTTACTGATCTCCTTCTGGTATCTGAATGGATCTTCTGATAATTGAGTAGGGATGGCGGGGGGCAGTAGGCAAGCACTTACAGCCTGTATGGTTGGCAATTTTAACAGGAACTAACTCAGGCACTGATGTCAGAGGCACCGATATCTCAAAGAGCTACAGCAAAGAGAGAGAACCATGATGTAAATTTTATTATAGACTTTTTTTTCAGTTACCACAGTCTATATTTTTGCCCTTGTCTTTTATGGTAATGATTTTAACAAACTTATCCATGCAGAATGGAGTTAGTCATTATAAAAGGCTTGGAATGCTGAGAGTCAGGAAACTGAGGATTTCTCCAGCTGGTAAAGTCTCTTAAGTGTTTTCCAAATCTGTTCTTTTCACCATCACCAGAGTTCTTGAAAATGGTGCCATTGGTCCGTGCTCTTGTTTTAAATCTGAGCATAAATTGTAAGAATAAACAAAATTAAATCCTTGGAGATCCTTTGAGATTTGGGTGGATTTAATTGTTATCTAAATTATTTATTCATCCCTTCCCAAATCATTACTATTAATGACAGACAATTTCCTACCTTTTGACATTGAGCTTGGCCGTGACACTTGTTTTGACCAATAATATGTTAGCTGATATGACAATAGTACAATTTGGGACTGTGCATGCTTTGTGAGATTTATTATTTCCTGATTCTAGTACAGCCACGAGAAGAATATAACCTGGAAGCCATGCTGGTTCAAGGGATTGGGGACACAGGAAGCAGGCCTGGACTTGCACAGAACCTTGGAGTATTTCGAACCTCAGATACACAAGAAAGAATAATTTATCATTGTTTGAAGCCCTTGAGTTTAAGGGCATTTGCTATAAAAGCATTGTATAGTTACGATCATACCCAGAAAGATAATTGTAGCTAGTGTTTCAATTTCTATGTTTCTACATACCTGCTCTATTGTAAATACTTTATTTTTAATTTATGTATTGCTTGTAAAAACATTATATTTGGGAGGTTGGAGAGATGGTTCTGTGTTTAAGAGCACTTGCTGCTCCTGCAGATGACTTGAGTTCATTTCCCAGCACCCACATCAAGTCGCTTAGAGAACGTTTGCTTCAGGGAATCTGGCGCCCTCTTCTGTTCTTCATAGGCATTTCACTTATTTGGTAGACTGATGTAAATAAAAATAAAAATAATTTTTAAAAATATAAAACTTATTATATTTTTAATGATAGATGGATAAAGAGGTGCCCAAAGGGTGTAAAGAAGTGGTTCCATGAAGTTTAGATGAATTTGAGTTTGATTTTAAGGCATTTCCACTCAATCACCATTCCATGCAGGTCTATTTACTTTTTTCTAAGAGGTAGTTCATCACATAGTCTGTACCTTTAAGGTAGGAACTGCCAAACTGCACACGTATGCCTATTTGGAAAGAAAAACTTCTTTATACTTAGACTTGAATAAATTCCTTCATATGAATCATTTGTTGAGTGTAGCAGTCAAAACAAAGCAATCAACTATCCACTAAGTGGAAACAATTCATTAAGGTTGTGTTTATTCAGACCTTTCAACATGTCATGAAACCTCCCTGAGAACAAGGAAGGATGTTTTTCTGCATAAACTTCATGATCTTGCACAATTCTTCAGCTATGCTCCACGGACTAACATGCACAGACACTGAACTCTCTTATGTTCTGCAAGCTTTGTTTTACTAATCGTTGATTGTAGCCATACTTACGTCATTGTTTCTAATTATCAAATAGTAGAGGTCAGATATCTTGAGTTCCAAAAGTCTCCAAAAGGGTTCAGACACAAAATTGCTACAGTTTCCAGGACAGTTTAGATGGTAGGGGGAACAAAATTAAGAAAACTAACGTATTAACAAAACAAATGTGTGTTTAGAACATTCCTTGGCGTGGATATATTTTGGCGCCAATATAATCCTTTTTTACTACATGATCATGAGGAGACAAGCAAATGTGATAAATGAGTTGTAGTAACATGTGAGGAATTTGCAACAGAGGACCAAAAGGAATGTGGTTTGGTTTACAGTCTTTTAATAATGCTTGCCTAAGTGGGTTCCTTCAGTTCCTGCATGAAACATTTACTATGTTTTACAAGAAGATGGTAGCCATGGGCACTTAGCAACAGGGCAAAGGTGGTTTGATTGATTTATTTTTATTTCCTTCATGGGCACTACAGGATTCTTTCAAAAGTCTCTTGTGCTGCATATTATCCCTTTGTTCTCCACTCAATCACAGAGAGCCTGTCCTCTCTCTTCCCTTCCCTATCAGGCTCTGTACCTGCCGTCACTGCCTCTGTAACTGGCTCCTTTGACTCTTCCAGCATCTGCCTCCATTCCCCACCATGCTAATGGCTGGCAACCGCCAAGTGAGAAGTCCTCTACCATTTCCCCTCAGTTCCCATGCCTGCTTCCTCCTTCAATCTCTTCAGTTTTAGGGTGAGAGCAACTCCCCCTCTTAGCTGGTCCTTGTTGCATTCTTCCTTTTTTCTTCCTCCAATCCCATTAACACTCTTTATTCAACTTTTCTTAGTCATTCCATTTAAACTCCATACACCCAAATGTTATAAAAGGCAGGACAGTTTCCTCCACTCCTTTTAACACCATGTTCTAGTAGTATCTGAATCTACTGGTTCTTGATGTTACAGCATTAGGTAGATAGTAACTAACGAGGCTGTGTCATATTGGAGGTTATGTTACCTTCCTGAGTCTCAATTTCCTTCTCTGAAAAGGAGGATAAGATATCCTCTGAGTTTGTTTGGGGAATTAAATGAGGTTCACCACATGAAGTATTTAGCTCAGTGCTTGGTAACAAGGTCAGCATCAGCGTCTTCATTTCCTGGTACCTGTTTGGAGATGTAGGAGGTGCTTGTGTTCATACACATCACACTTTCTTCATTGCAGCAGCCTCCACACCGGAACACGTTCACACAGGGGGGCTTGAAGAACGTGTTGGTTGTCTTCCCCAGCTCACTGGCGACTTCTACGCATGTCTCTCTAGGGATGCACTGGGTTCTCTGCCATTCCTCATCTATAACTACAGGAATAAAGTTCATTGAGGCCAGCAGACAAAAATGGCCCAGATACACAACATACGTGTTTTCATGCCCCCTCTATTTTTGTGTTTGTTTATTTTACTAGGTAGGTATTTAAACATTTCTTTTAAATGTATTTATTTTATTTTATATGTATGGATGTTTGGCTATATGTATGTATGTGCAAAACATGTATGGCTGGTGCCTTTGGAGGTTAGAAGAGGGCATTGGATCCCCTTTAACAGAGGTTACAGATAGTTGTGAGTAACCATGCAGTAACTGAAGCCAGATCCTATGAAAGGGTAACAAGTGTTCCTAACCACTAAACCATCTTTCCAACCCCTAGGTGAATATTTTTATCTATCTTTTAGCCAAAAGTTTGCCTGCAAAAAACTTAAAACTGAAATCTCTATACTTTTCCATTGATACAACCACTTCATAAAATATTTTATTTCCCCTTGGCAGGGAGCACTATGTCCTGCAAATAGCCACACTGGGGCTACTTGTAAAGGCTGTATAATAAGGAAGTTCATGGACTAATGTGAAAACAATCTGTGAGTGTCATTTATCAAGCAATTTACAGGGTACAACTGGGTAACATTTCTTCTACTTGAAGCCAGGTAGGAATAGGTTTTAAAAACATAGAGAAATGAATTTCCATTGTCTGCTTATATAATTGCACCAAGACTTAAACCTGGAAAATACATGAGTGGATGTTTCAATGGAATTAATTTTTACTCAAATCAGACTTTCCACATTTGGAAGCATTCACTCATTTACGGAAATTGATGAGATAAGCCCTTTAATTTTAATGGAAGGAGCAGCTCCCTGGCCATAGCTAATTTGAGGGAAACCAGAAAAAGAGAAATACATCTCTGGCAATAAAAAGGGAAATACAGGGTGTTGTGGAATAATTTTTTCATACACTGTGAAGATGTGTCTTTGCCAAGGCACCTTCTGATTGGTTTAATAAAGAGCTGAATGTTCAATAGATAGGCAAGAAGAGGTTAGGCAAGAATTCTGGGCAGAGAGAGAGGAAGAGGAGATGAATTAGGCATGCAAGATATGCCAGAGGATATGGGGAGGAAGCAGGAGGTACCATATGGAAGAGAAGTAAAAAGCCAAGAAGCAAAATGTAGATTAAGTCTTATGAGCTAGTGGGACAAGCCCAAGCTATAGGCCAAGCTTCCATAATTAATAAGAAGTCTCTGCATTGGTATTTGGGGCTGGAAGTGGAAAATAAAGTCTATCTACACATGGTACCCAATATCTGACTATGTATATCCACACAAGACCTGAGAAAGTTTAAAAAGGGAAACAAAAGTTCAGAACATAGATTCAAATGCAGCTTTCTGGTGACCACAGTCTCTTGGGTAGGCGTGGCAGTGTACAAAGACTTGACTACTGGCTGTTGCCTGTGGACTAGAGTCAGCCACCAGTGCCACGTACCATCATGTGCTAAGCTGGCCTGCATGGTAGCTGACATAGCAGTTTAAGACTTGTCTCATATAGTCAGAGAATGCTGTAGATGCTCAGTAAAGACAGATCCAGATGGAGAAAAAAACTAAATAGGTTACAGTATGTTTTTTAAAAGTGCATAGGCTTGAAAAAGAAAAGAAAAATGGGTATAGACAGTCCATAGAAAATTGTTTATAAATAATAAGATAAAGTCTTTAAAGAGAGAATAAAATAATATAAAATGATACACCATGTAAAGATGGAAAATACATGGAGAGACTAGATCTTATATGGTGCTTTATTGACTTTGATCTTTTGATTTCTGATGAGCAAAGGACAGCTGCTGGGATTGTAAGAGGGACTACTGAATTAAGCCAGCCTAGATACTTTAGGAATGCCTTAACTTTAAAAAGGAAGTAAAAGATGCATTGCTTTGGGGAAGAGGTTATGGTTTTGTTTCCACAGAAAACAAAAGGCTGTGGATTCATTCAAGGTTGATAAAGGTCAGGTTTGATTGGGGGAGACCTCATGAAAATCCTGGCTACAGACATAAACAAATAAAACTAGAAAAACTAAAAGACAGGTGATGCAAATTTACCTTCTAAAACAAAAAGTCATATTTGTCTGGCTTGTGTACAATGCACAGTTCATATTTGTGTTAATCCAGATATGTATATTACCTTTGAAAGCTTGTGTGTTTTCAGAGCAAGAGGATCAAACACCAATGAAAATGGATGCATCCAGCTTCTCAAATTGCCTCTATGCAGTTTCTTCAAGTTCTGCATCCAGAACAGCTTCAGGGCTGTGGCTGTGATGGTCTAGCCTCACAGATTTTTCTATCCAGGACTACAGATAAGTTTTCCCATTGCACAGAGTCTGGATAAGAAATATTATGGATAGTTTTCCCAGGACTTGACCATTATCTCAATTTTTCTAAAGATGCCATCACCCTCAGACAAGGGAATCAGTCTAGAGAACAAGACACCCATATTTCCAATAGGTGGGGTGAGTGTTTTTTTGGTCGTTTGATGGGTTATGGATGTTTGTCATCATTTGCTGGGGGTTGGTTACAAATTGTTACTGGTCATGGTCAGGGAGAAACCATAATGAAGGAAATTATATTTAGGGATTTTTTTATAAAGAAAAATGGGGATATAGTATAGAAATGATTGGATAAAAGAATGGATTGTTGAGTCTACTTTTGAGCAACCACTAGTCTCAAATTGTGTATTGGTATGGATTTTTGTATATTGATACAAATTTAAGGTTATTTTTGTTAGCATATACTGTACATATGTTTCTACTCTTATTTAAGATATTGTACCTATACAGCTCATTAACAATGTAATGTAAATTTCTAGTCCTTGAAAGTTATTATTACAAACTATTAAGATAATAAAAATGTAATTTAGTTGACACCTATAACAATCATACTTATAGTCATGTTAGATATGTTTTCAAGGTCAAACATATATTTTAATTAGATGGTCTTCAAACACTTCAAAGACCTACAGAATATAGCAATTAAAATGTTTTAATAATGACAGAGAGGCATGTCTGTTCCTGGCAGCACCAATTTACTTCAAAAAAGGATGATGGGCATCTACGAACCTCCATATGGAGTTTGCTTTCATTTGTAGCAAGGTTAGCCACTGGGCAAAAAATTGCCCTTGCCTTGACTGTTGACAGAATACTGTCCAAACTGGACAAACAGGACACAAAAGAAGATGATTGCCAAAATTTGCCAAAACAAAGTATGACAGTCCTTCAAAATTCCTGCTTCATGGAAAAGTCTGTCAGATATTTTAGGCCCATAGGCTGAAGATGGATGCTCCAACATTGCAGATGAACCTTGGGGTGACATCTAGGCAGCTAGTTGTCTCTGTCGTTTCTTATTTTTGGAAGTTGTTTGTTCTGAACTTCCTGTTTACTCAATTAATATTTTATCCTTCTCAGGTCTTTGATAGAGTTGAAGATGATATAGTTATTGTTATACTTTTCTTTGTTACCAAATTCAGAAAATAATCTCACAAAAGAGGTATAAAATGCATAAGGTTGAAAGACATAAAAGCTTAAATTTTTTATCTAAGAAAATGTTTTAAGGTCTAAAAAGATATTTTTATGTTGGTAACACAAGCTATAATAAAAAATGGTTTAGGCATAAGACTTTGGACTCACTAAGACAGGATAGATAACACAGTACTTTCTCCAAATTTGCCAAATACATATGGACTAAACATTATGAATGTAATTCTTACTTGAAAATTGATATAATTGAATATAGTTTTACTTTGTTAAAGTTAAAACTTTCCCTTTTTATTTGGACAATACTTGATAATTGTTCTTATTGTGTATAATTTTACTATGTTAGAATTAAAACCTTTCCTTCTATTTAGATAAAAAAGGGGGGAATGTGGTTAAATAATATTTTTGTACACTGTGAAGATGTCTTTCCCAAGGTGCCTTCTGATTGGTTTAATAAAGAGCTGAATGGCCAATAGTTAGTCAGGAGGAGGTTAGGCAGGACTTCTGGGCAGAGAGAGAGGAAGAGGAGATTAACTGAGTCTTGGGAGAGACAACAGAGGACACAGAGAGGGAACGGGGTGGAAGATGGAAAAGAGTTAAAAAAGCCATGAGGCAAATGTAGATTAATATAAATGGGTTGATTTAAGTTGTAAGAGCTAGTATGACAAGTTTAAGCTATAGGCAGAGCTTTCATAATTAATAAATTAATAAATTAATTTAATAATTAATTAAATTAATAAAAAAGTCTCTGTGTCATTATTTGTGGCTGGCAGCAGAAAAGAAACTGTCTAAAATAGGGCAGGGGATATTGCTGGGTGGGGAAAGTGCTGGCTGCACAAGTAGAAGGACCTTAGTTCACATACCCAGAACCCACATAAAAAGCTGGGCACCCTGATGTACTCCTGTAATCCTAGTGCTGGGAAGGCAGGTTAATCTTTGGGGTTTGCTGGCCAGCCAGGCCAGCCACATCAGTGAGCTTCAGTTCCGATGAGAGACCCTATTTCAAAAACTAATTTGGAGAGTGAATTAAGACGATGCTCAACATTGATCTCTGACCTCCACATACACAAACAGATATGGACACATCCACTTGTGTACACATGTGGGCACATACATGCACCACACACATGCTTGAAAAGACAATTACATAGTTTTTTTCTTATATAGCTGTTTCACTTTCTCATGTTTTTTTTTTTTTTGTTTTTTTTTTTTTTTTTTTTTTTTTTTTTTTTTGAGACATGGTCTCACTGTGTAGTCCTTGGCTGGCCTAGAATTTGTCATGTAGACCAGGCTTGTGGCCTTCAACTCATATCATGCCTGGCTTTCGACATTTAAAAAATATTATTTTATTTTAAGATGTGTGTGTGTGTGTTTGTGTGTGTGTGTGTGTGTGTGTGTGTGTGTGTGTGTGTGTGAAGCAGGGAGAGAGAGAGGGGAGGGAGGAAGACAGAGCAAGTACCTGCAGATATCAGAAGCATTAGATTCCCTAGAGCTGCAGTTAAAGCCAGTTGTAAGCTGCCTGATGTGGGTCCTGGGAACCCAATTTAGGTCCTCTACAAGAGCAGTACCCACTCTTAGCTGGTGATCTCTTTCCAGCCACACACTCATCATTTTGTAAGTTAGATTTTGATACTTAATGCTGTGTGCAGCTTCTCTTCAGTACTTTTTGCGAGGGGGGAGGGGCTTGCTTTCAGCTTGTCATAGATAGAATCACAGACTATGCAATGTATCGAAACCCTTTTGTATGAGGCTGCCTTAAAATTGACCCCTAGTAATCTCTTGTTCCTGGAGATCATACCCTGTGCAATCTCCCCCTCTTTTTATGTAATGACAAAACTGAGTGGTTGGATTCTTATGAAGAGAGTACAGTAAAACACTTCGGTGCCACTTAGTGCTTAGGTTGAGAAAATTCTCACTCTGCTTCTCTCCTATCCCCACTTCTCGTTACCCTCTCCTATTCTTTCCCACTTCCTTCTTTCTCTCCCACCATACCTCTCCTTAGCCTTTCTTATTCTCTCCGCCTCCCTTCAGTTCTCCCACTTTTCAAAAAAAGATCTTCTTCTTTGAAATGCTGTGTATATGGGTGGAGGTATATATGCATTCTGTGGGGGTGGAGTGCACATGAGTGCAATGTCCTGAGACACCAGAAGAGGGTGACAAATGCCTCCTGGATCTGGAGTTATGGGTGGCTGTGAGTTCACCCTACTACATAGGTGGTAGGAAACAAACCTGTGTTCTTAGCCAGAGCAGTATGTACTCTTAATCTCGGAGCCACTTGCCCAGTCTAAAAGCCATTTTTGAAGCTACCTCTAACTGAGGGCAGGCTCTGGCCAACATCCAGTGATGAAAGGGGCCCTTCACAGTCCAAGAGCCTGTGTGGGACTTAATCCTACAAGCAACTGTTGAATGAGCTTGGAAGTACATCATGCCCCAGTTGAGCCTTGAGATGCGTGGAGCCCAGATGAAGACCGTGACTATAGCCTCCAGAGATACCTTGAATTAGAAACAAAAACTTGGCCATGCCTGTATTTCAGATCTCAAAAGTAAAAATATCTGTTTTACAAGTGGGAGGCCACCTAAAGAATGAAATCCTCGGTTGTCACTGGCCTCCACAACCACATGCACCCATACACACATGTACACCTGTACATGCACCCCTAGCCTGTTGGAGGCAGTCAATTGGGATAATATAAAGTAGCAGGCAAACATTTCTATATACTCTATTTAAAAGTATCTATTGATGGGTGTGGTGGTTTGAAAGAAAATGGCCCCTGATGGGAGTGGCACTATTAGGAGGTATGGCCTTGTTGGGATAGATGTGGTCTTGTTGGAGGAATTGTGTCACTGTGGAGGTGGGCATTGAGGTCTCATATATGTTCAAACCACGCCCAGTGAGACAGACCACTTCCTGTTACCTGTGAGTCAAGATGTAAGAACTCTCAGCTCCTTCTCCAGCACCATGTCTGCCCGCATGCTGCCTTGCTTCCTGTCATGATGATAATCGACTAAAACTCTGAACTATATGTGAGACACCACAATTAAATGTTTCCCATTATAAGAGTTGCCATGGTCATGGTGTCTCTTTACAGCAATAGAAACACTAACTAAGACAATGGTCCCAGAGAGATGGCTCATAAGAATACTAGCTGCTCCTCCAGAGTACCCACAATTAGTTTCCAGCATCCATATGGCAGCTCACATCTCTAACTCTAGTTCTAGTGGATCTGATGCCTTCTTCTGGCCTCCATGGGTTCTGTACACATGTGGTGCCCAGACATACATACTGGTAAAACACTCATATATATACACAGAATATAAAATTAATATTTTTAAATTTCTGATGATAAAAATTTATGTAAAGCATCCACAGGCTGCATGCATGAGGCACAAATTATTTAATTCAGCTTTGCTAGGGGTGGTATTTAAATTGCTATTATTAGTCATGAATCTTTGAAGGAGAGAGAGTAATTCACTTGTGAAAATATCCTTTGTTTAAAATGCTATTTAAATGTTACTTTCTACTTGCTTTTTCTCCTTAAAGTTATAACGTTTAAAAGTTGGGCAAGACTATAATCAAAATCTCATGCAGTTATGACCAAATGCCACTGACTAAGATTTCACAAGGCCAATGTTCTTTACTACTGCCCAGGGAATTACCCTGAAATCCATGACAGGGAGTATATAACAAAACATAATTGGTGAAACACACTTATTTGATTATCTGCTGCTTCTAACTTAGTGAATAACTTCAGCTAATCCTCCATAGAATTGGGAGGGAAACTGTGGAGGCTGCAAATTCTCTAATTTTTTATGGTTTCCTCCTTAGGAAATGTCAACCTGGCTGACTTTTAAAAATCGCTGCCTTGTGGTTTTATGGTGAAATTGTCTTCACCAGTCATTTGTAAATGTCCCTCAGACACAGGTAATCTGGTCAAAGCCTGTGGTCTTAGATGCAGCTGTTTTTGTGAAATCACCACATGAATGAACAACTAGATGCTCACTTAGACCCACAGTCCTATACATGAGCACAAAGATCCTTCTTCACACTTATAATGCAGTGGGATTTCCCCCACCTACATACAAATTTCCCCCATAACTGGATCATGTGCAAGCCATTCTTTAACACATGGAAAAAATACAAGTCTAGATAGAAAGAAATGAATAGCTTTTGCTTAAGGATCAACTGAAATTAAACAGTGGATATACTCATGTACTATGTGGTCATATTGTATCTACAAGGCTAAATCTAACAATGGCACTGGTTTCTTAAGTTGTTTTGATATCTCATCAGAGAGCTAAAGCTCTAATCAAGGCCACACAACTTTATTTAAAAATATTTCATTCATTGGGGCACAATACATATAAACAATAGTCTTGTAAGACTCTATATCTCAATCTGGCTATCATTAAAGTGTCAAAATTAGACATCACACATCTATCTCCACCCCTACCCCAGGAATACAATTTGGAAATATAATGGTCCCTTGATATCTGTGGCTGATTGGCCCCAGGATACCTTATAGATAGATACCTAAATACTTGGATTACCAAGTTCCTTATATATGGACTAGAATTTGTAAATAGCCCATGTACATCTTTCTGCACATTTGAAATCATGTTCGGATAACTTCTGGTAACAAATAAAATAGATATATGCCATATAAATAGTTGTTATAGTATATTGTGTGTCAAGAAAAGGTCTGCATAAGCTCAGTACACATGTATGTATGTCCCTGAAGTATTTGACCTGTGTGATTGGCTGTACCTATGGTGGGGAGGGAGGCAGAACCTGAGAATACAGAAGGCTGACTGTACATTATTTTCTAGTCCTAAGCTTTCATTACTTTGCGTCAAGAAATTTCTTTGTTATTCTCTGAGGAACCAGTACCCATTATTATACCTCACCTTTTCAATTTCTGCCTTTTGCTTTTACATAAAAACCACAGAATTTTGAAGGAAAAAGAATGCTATAGCTAAATTCTTGGTTTTTCTCTCTCTTTGCATAGTAGTTTGAAACTCCATGTTGATGAAAACTGAAGTTGTTTTGTTTTTTAGTAAACCTACTTTTCTTGCCCCTAAAAGCAATCTTTTTGTATTGTTTTCCCTTCAATTTCCCAAGTTAGTTATTTTGATAATTTGAAATGTCTTGTGTTGAATGTGGATATCAAAATCATATTGAATATTCTTCCTTGTAAAGTAGACATTTAAAACTAAGAGTTCTTGAGCTGACAAGATGGTTTGCTGTGTAAAGGCACTTGCTGCCAAGCCTGAAGCCCTGTGTTTGATTCCTGAGCCCCACAAGGTAGAAGGAGAAAACTGATTCTTGCAAATACTGATTTGTTTCAATTTTTATTATATCTATTTAGTTATGGAGGGGGCTCATGTGTGCCTACCTGAGAACCATTCTCAACTTTATCCAGTTAATCATCTTGTCATAAAGTCAAAGACTTTCTTTTGTTCCCCCTCTGAGACATAACCACCCTGTTTAAACTTTTGGAAGGAGTTTGCATGTGTGTCACTATCCAATAAGGAAATAATCTGCCATTTTACTCATGCACCTACCTCTTAGTGTTTCAGTATCATAGAAAGTTGCTGCAAATCTGGTGGATCGATGGGATGTTGAGCGAGAATCCATACTAGCAAGACTTTTGAGCTTCAGCCGGCATCTCCACAGCTTCCAGTCCTCAGAGTGTGCGATTTGCAGTAGCTCCTCCAAACTAGAAGCAGCTCTGATCTGTTGTTCAGATCGTTCCAACATTGACTGGGATGATTGCTCAAAAGAAAAATCCTAGTTTAAGAGTGAGTTACAAAGATATCTTGAGAACTGTGGTTGCTGACAGTTTAAACTATAGACCATCTGAAAAGAAACTAGAGAAGATTATTCAAATGTGCACCTGTGCCTAGACAAAACAATGTCTAATGGTGAGCTTCAAAAATGATAGGTCCTCACTTCCAGAGCATGTGCACATTGTCTTATTCAGGAAAAAATGCATATATAGTGGAGGTAAAGTCCTTGCAATATTCGTCACATGAACCCAACGTACATTGACCAAGGTCCTTAGAAGCCAGGAGAAGACAGATACAGCAGGGCCATGTGAAGACTGAAGTGGAGATGAAGTGATGAGACCACAACTCACAGATTGTCTCGAGCCACCCGAAGTAGACAAGGCAATGGTTCGTGCCAAGAGAGTTTGCCACCTTGATTTTTAGAATTCTGTTGTTCTGAGACACAAGATTTATGGTACTTTGCTACTACAGCCACAGAAAAGCAGTAGAGATTCACTTATTATACTACTTTTGTGACAACAGTACCATTTCTTAGTATAAGCTGAAGTCTTGCTGTTTCTCCACAGTTGCTTCTGAATTGTATTGGCTAATATGATGCAATTAGATTAGATGGGTATATTCGTGAGAGGGGAGCCCAAAAAAGATTTTCAATATGTAACTTCTTGTTCAAAAGTAGGGGCTTGGTTATATGAAATAATTATAACCAGCAACCAGCAAAGCTAGTGGAGCCCATTTCCTACTAGAGTGTTTTACCCCAGCACTGGGGATCAGTCTTTGGACTTTAAGCATGCTAGGTAGGCATTTTGCCAACTGGGCTATCTCCCCAGTTCTGGAGCTGAATTCTTAATGGCTCTCTCTCTCTTTCAGACTCATATCTATCATTCCTGCAAATTCGACTTTATGGTTCCATAATTTATCAACATTTAGCATTGTTTTTCATGTTTGTTTACTATTGTTTTATTAACCATTCATAGTCTGTGAGCTAAAAAACGTCAAAATATGTATCTTCGAGGTCATGTCTTTTGTTGTTGCTATTGTTGTTTTGAGGCAAGGTCTCATGTAGCCAAGGTTGGTCTGGAAATTGTGATCCTCCTGCCTCAGCTTCCAGAGTCCTGATATCTCAGGCTTGTGTGATGATACCTGGCTAAATTCACCTTAGCCATTTTACCTAGAAGTCCAGATGGAAGAACATATGAACACATATGCTCATTTTTTTGCCTGAGGTAAGCAAGTATTAAATATGTTTGTAAACTGGGGGAAAGAGCCAACACAGAAGAAACTGAAAGCATATACAGGGGAAATAAAGCTAGGCATGTTATATAGCAAATTAGTTGGTCAGTATGAAGAGATTTTAAAAAACACCTTTTGAAACAGATGAGCCACAGGACACCCCATGGTCTGTAGAGAGCAAGGCTGCCTCAGAAGCTCAGTGAGGTTATACTGGTGGTCTCTCACATATCTCCAGAGTTTGAACCAAAGACATTTTTGGCAAGGAAGCTTAAAGAGCACAGATGGGCTTTGTGAACTTGGCACTGAACTTGCATGGCATGCCACAGCTTCTTTTAGCTGAGAACCCTGGAGATAAAACTGGTTAATTGCTCATTTTCCTGACAACTCTTAAATGCTATGGTCCTACATTAAGGCTAAGTTGTTAATGGCTTCTCTTTGCCTGACCATTTATCTCCTCTTTCTAGTTCTACGGCAAAGCTACCTCATATCTGAGTCAATCTTTAAGATAAAATGTTTTGACAACACTGCTTCAATAAGCTAATGAGGAAGCCTAACAAATGCTTTTTAAAAGATTGTTAAATTGAGCTTGGTAGGGTGTGTGTGTGTGCGTGTGTGTGTATCTGTATGCACATGTGCATGCTTGTGCACACTGCTTGTATGTATAACAATACTTATAGAAGAAGAGGTTGTGAATTTGAGAAGGAGCAGGAGAGAGACACAGGAATTGGACAGGGAAAGGGAGAAGTGGAAATAATGTAAGTACAAGAACTTGTGCATGAACCCCTCTAATATTTTTAATTAAAAAGTATTAAATTGCACAATGCTGAAAGAATTTTCATTTATGGAGGTAAAATTCATCCAGCCCTATCCCTAACTAAGGCTGATTTATGGTTTCATCTCCGTACAAGTCTCAATTCAATTTTCATTTCCTTAAAAATCCTATGATTAAAAAAAGCAGGATAAAATATTAATCCCACAGCCTGAATTAAAATGATTGAATGATGTTAAGATTGAATAGATCCTATGACTGGTTTCTTTGTAAAACCACAACATTTCCTTACATGCTCAAAGCTGTTTAAGTATACCCTGCTAAATGAAAACCTAGTTTGAAATAACTGAGAAATTGGCAACAGTCATTTTTATAATTTTAAATGGAAATACAGCTCAACAAAAGCAAGTAATTAATCCGAACACACATTTGGGAAGAGTTGAAAATGGATCCTTTTCCAATTGGTGTTTTACAATCCTTGATTTTTTTGTAATCAACTTTATGTTATCTGCATGGGTAGGACAAAGCTAAACATCAAAAAGTGTGACCATTGTCCCAAGTGTATACTTAAACCCTTGATTTCAATAGTTTTCACTGTCACACTACTGCCAAATGAGTCGCTCTTTATTTTTTCCAATTTTCTGATACAAGCGCTAATAAAATCTAAAATAATTATAATGCAATCCGAAAGATGAGAGGATGGGAAAGGCCTTCCTGTGTCTCTGCCTATTAGAGTGGCAGCCTTGGTTCTGTCATTAATTCAAGACTGTTAGCAATTCTCCTCCTAAATAACAAATCATTCTCTGATGTCTTTTAGCTACGAACAATCAGTTTTTAAAGCATGGACTGAAGGTGTTTACAACATTACTTTGTTTTCATATAAATGTTACTATATGCATAGACGAGCTTTTTCCCACATGCAATTGCTTTCCTAACAGGCCACCAAGCAATGGCCACACTGTTGGTTGTCTTATTCCCTCTTGAGGATTTGGAGCAGAGGTTCCCAGACTTGCCTTCACCTGGAATGCATATGGAGAAAAGCTTAAAAACATACTGATGATTGGATCTTATCATCAGAAAGTCCCATTTACAGGTTTGGACCACAAGTTCAAAACAAAAAAAAAGTCCCGTGCCTGCTTCAGTAGCAGCTGAGTTAAGGATTTGCAGCGACTCTTGTATGTCTCTGTAACTTTTTCATAAAGTTAGAATTACTTCAAAATAAAAAGCATCCTTAAAAACTCTTTAGTGGTTGGTGATGTAGCCTAGTTGGCAGTCTTCTTGTCTGAATTCACAGAGCTTCACAAACCTGGCATGATGGTACATACCAGTAACCTCTATCTTGGAGGTAGAGGCAGCTGAATCAGATATGTACTGAGTGAGCCTGGGCTACATGAGACTTTGTCTGAAAATAATGAAAAATTAACCTTCCCAAGTGATTTTGAAGAGAACCAGTAATTTGGAGCATGGTGATACTGATTTTAAGTTCAGAGACCTGGGTTAATGTCCGAGGTGTGTACAAGAACCCTGATTAAACATGGGATAAGTAAATGGCAGACACATGTTGAAAAATTGGCCCAGTCTTCCAATTCCTTTGTGTTACACCTTAGGTCACAATATGTGCATGAGTATCTGGCTGAACTGGAGTTTTAAAGCCAGCCCCTTGCTCACAGGCCCTTTCTGTTGAGTGTGTGAAATGTATTGCTTCCACAGCTCGACTTAAAGCCAGTGGGCATTCCATGCGTGCAAATTCTATTCTTTTTATCCATTGCTCAACTTGTATGGCTTTTAAAAGGCTAAATAACAGTGACATCATTTCCTCACTTAAACAGCATGATGAAGTTAGCTATCATCCTAAATGGCAGACTAAATTGCCTCTTGAATTCCTCCAAATTCCAAACAGCCCATTTCTCAAGATAAATTAAAAAAAATTGCCTGAACCCACTAGAATTCAACAGAAAGCTATACATTCTCTCAAAAGGCACTCCTATAAAATATCTCAAGGAAAATATAAATGTCAATTGGAAGGATCTTGGCATAGGGGCATGTAGCTGAGCCCCTGTTCCAGCTCTGGCCTGTCATGATATCTACAAAGAATTGGTCCATGAGCCTCCTGGCTGCTGCAGAATGCTTTTCCTGCATCATCCTGGGCCTGGGCTCTTAAGACCCTCATATTACAGATATGGAAACAGAGAACAACTCTGTTGAATTCCTCATTGGGCCTCTTGAGAGACTATGATTGCTTTTTTTCTTTGTGGAACTGCACTGTCTTCAGGAGGTTGGGTGATATCTGCCTGGAGAATAGGGTTTGTGAAAGTGGCATGTCCCGGAGCTCTGGGCTACGTTATGGTGGAAACACATTTTGCACAGCTTTCCCTAGATTTGCTGAAAGAACCAGAAGTGTTACCTGTCAAGTCACCTCTGCAGTTCAGGAAAACCACAGTCACCTATTTGCCTTTGCAGTGGGTTTGGGGAGATAAATTCCAAACTGTTCTGTCTTCCTTCCACCTCTTACGAACTTCTTTGGTTTCACTCAAGAAACATTTGCGGTTCATCTTACCTTCATGGTTAGGGATTAGCCTAATTCACCACACCTTTCCTGGCTTGATATGCCAGTAGCATTGTTGTCCTCCCCAACGGTCCTTCTCCCTCCATCTACCAATAAATCTGCCTCGGCCACACCAGACTCACAAGTCTAAGTAAATATCTGAGATGGCCCCATGACCTTTCTTTTAAGTGGAAATCATATTGCCCTAAATATCATAAATTATACTGCTGATTACTCAAATGGCTTTTTTAGAGGCAAGAGCACAGTTCCCAATTGTTCAAAACTAGCTTTAAGTGATATGGCACTCTGGAAATTTCTTATAAACATGTGCCCATCATATGGCTAAGTAACCCTACTCCAGGGAATTCATCACTCGATAAATGAAGATAAATGAAGCCTACAGTGCACAAAACTCCATACATGAATGCTTGTAGTAACTTTTTTTATCATAGCCAAA